GTTGCTGGGCCCTGTTAACCTCTTTCACCAAGACACCACTCACTGCATTCTGAGATACGGCTAAGTATGAATACAGAGTATCCCCGGGCTCGGGTTTGGTGAGGATTGGAGGAGATTCCAATGTCTGCTTGAGCTCCTTAAAAGCCTTTTCGCACTCCTCATTCCATTCAAAGCAATGATTACACCTGAGGGCTTTGAAGAAGGGGAAGAACCTGTCTGCTGCTCGGGACATGAACCTGTTTAAGGCAGCTACCCTGCCTATCAACTTTTGAACCTCTTTCTTGGTCCTTGTTGATTCCACTGCTGCCAGAGCCTGAATCTTGTCGAGGTTGGCCTCAATCCCCCGATGAGTGATCATGAAACCCAGAAACTTTCCTGAAGCTACGCTGAATACACACTTCTCCGGGTTGAGCTTTATCTTATTTTTTTATAGGGTGACGAACACCTCCTCTAGGTCGGATATGTGTTCCTCCACCTTCTTACTCTTTACAACCATGTCATCCACATAGGCCTCGATGTTCTTCCCTATCAAATCGACGAAGACTTTGTTGATGAGCCTCTGATATGTCGCCCCAGAATCTTTCAATCCAAATGGCATCACCCTATAGCAATATATGACTGAATCGGCCATGAATAAAGTCTTCTCTTGGTCTTCTTTAACCATGATGATTTGATGATACCCTGATAATGCATCTAAGAAGCTGTACAGCTTATGTTTGGATGTGCTATCCACAAGATTATCAATCTTTGGTAGTGGGTAGCTATCCTTTGGGCACGACTTATTAAGATCTGTGAAGTCAATGCAGACCCTCCATTTACCACTAGCCTTTTTCACAAGAACAACATTAGCGAGTCAATCGGGGTATTAGACTTCCCTTATGAACCTTGCTCCCAACAATTTGCTGACTTCTTCCTGAATGACCACACGTCTTTTTGGTGCAAACTGTCTCTTCCTTTGCTTAACAGGTTTGGCCCCTGGGCTGATATTGAGTTTATGGACAGCTACTTCTGGGTCTATTCCTGGCATATCCTCCACCTTCCATGCAAAAACATTAATGTTGATGGACAGACAATTGATGACTTCCTCCCGGAGGTTGGCCTTGATATCTCGACCAATAGTAGCGGCTTTTCCGTGCTCGAGCTCGACCACTTCCAATTCCTCAACGGGGGCCAATCTACCCCTTGGCTCGAGCTCGAGATCTAAAAGTTGCATGACGTCAGCACTCATTCCTCGGATGCTAGTAACATAGCACTGTTTGGCAGCTGTTTGTTCTCCTCAAACTATTTTGATGCCATGACCTGTGGGGAACTTCATGGCCAGGTGGAAAGTTGACACAATAGCTCGGATCTTGTTCAGTAGGGGTCTTTCCAGAATGATGTTATAGGCCATTGGGGTATTAACCACTTGGAATGGTGTGATCTCCGTCACTTGTGTATTACCAATTCCTAATGTAAGCGGGAGCTCGATGATGCCTTCAAGGATAATGACGCCACCACCAAATCTCTGTAGGGGAGTTTTTACTGCTTTGAGCTGTTTGTGAGAGATCCCCATTTTGGCGAAAGCCTCCTGCGAGAGTATATTTGCTGCACTCCCATTATCAACCAGAATCCTCTTTACTTCGAAGTTAGCCACAACCGCAGAGACGACCAAGGCATCATCATGAGGATATGATATTCCTTCCAAATCTCTTGCTCCAAAAGTGACGTCTTTGACTTCATCACGGGATTCTTTTGGGGTATGAGCATGTTGGCGGGCATACTGCTTTTGCCCACTACTTGTGTCTCCGCTGGATGCTATGCTCCTAACAATAATATTAATGGTTCCGGTAGTGGGTTGAGCACTGCTTCCGGCCCCAGGCTTTTTCCGATTGTCACGGTCATTCCTTGGTCATTTATTATGACCAATTTAATTCTTTAAAAATCCTTTTTGGATAAGGGCTTCAATTTCTCGCTGTAAAGCATGACAATCCTCTATAGTATGCCCATGATCCCTGGTGAAATTCACAATACTTGCTCCTATCTCTTGTGTCAAGGGGCGACTTCATCCTTGAAGGCCACTTTAACTCTTTCATATCTTTAACCTCCATCAAGATGTTTGTCTTAGAGGTGTTCAACCAAGTGAGAGGTGCTGACGGCGCCTCGTTCCTGCACTTATCCTGGGGAAGCTCATGCCGGGGGATCGGATCATGTTGCCTCTTGTTCTCGATCTTTTCATGGGAAGGACCAGGTCTCCTTGGATTTAGTGTTTCCTCTATATTAATGTATTTTTCAGCTCGAGTGAAGAGCTCGGTCACTGTCTGCGGTGGGGTCTTTGATAAATACATCTTGAAAGTTTCACATCTTACGGCGTAAGTGAGGACGGAGACAGCTGTTGCGATGTGAAGGTCGGGTATCTGAAGCCTTTCCTTGTTGAACCTTGTCATAAATCCTCGTAGGGTTTCAGTTGGTCCCTGGCAAAGTTGCATGAGAGAGGCTGTAGTCTTCCTGATTCGTTTGCTACTTGCAAAGAAGGCTGAGAACTTATCAGCCAAATCTGAGAATGAGGCTATGGAGTTGGGCTCCAATGTCGAGAATCAATCCCTAGCAGCATTAGTCAGCGTTTGTGGAAAGGCTTTGCACATAACCTGATCCGGCGTAACTTGCAAGTTCATGACATTAGTGTATACATTGGGATGATTGATGGGGTCGATCGTCCCATCATACTCTTTAATGTGAGAATATTGAATCTGTCGGGCAAGGGATATGACAATATCTCTGGCGTGAATGGAGTGTTAGGGGTGAAACCTATTGGCCCCCGAGCATTCCGTTGCAGGCTAGCTGTAATTCCTTCTTGAATGATCCAGGCAATTTCACCGGAATCCATGACGACCGATCTCGAGCCCGAGGCCATATTGTGGATACCCGAGGTTTCTACTCTGCCAGTTGCGGGATTTGGTGGTCGTGCTCGACCATCAACCATAAAACCGCCATGCTCCACCTGCGCTGGCGACGGATGTGAATTTCTTTGACTTAACAGTTGTGTGAGCGTGGCCACTTGTTGATGAAGCTCTTCAAAGGCTTCGGTTGTGATGACCGCTGGCAGAGGTGCGGGCACTCCTAACGATTCTTCATGGGGAGCAGGTTGATCTTCGACAGGATGAAGGATGGGAGAAGATGAGCTTGCGGGAGGAAGACCTGATCGTGTGTTAACCATGACTTTTGGTAGCGTTCCCACAGATGGCGCCAATAATGCTACCAACAATCGTACTTGTAGATTTCCTGTGCTTGATGATTCGGATTGAGTACGATCGTAGTCTTCCGGTACCTGAAACAAAGGCAACGAGGTATGTTCTCGTCGCCCTTCCGATGCTTAAGTCAGAAAGGGATATGTGTGAGGCTATAAACTGGAGAATAATGAAAAACGTACCTGAATAATGGCTCAAGATTCTGTATTTATAGTAATAAGCGACATTCACCTAGTGAGACTCAACTAGCTGGATGTCCTTATCTGTTGGAGTCCTGTATAGTTAAGGAGTTGGTCAAATACCATAATTATATGTGGGATAGAATCCTTGCGGGAGTCAAGTATATGGTTGACTTAGAGTCCTAATTGTATAGAAATTCTAAAGGATCAACAATCGTAGGTTGTGAGGGGGAGCATATGCTCGAGGATTGCTTATGCTCGAGGACAAGTATCGCAATATGTAAAGCAGCCAGACAGGGAGTGCTTGAGCATGATAGCCCGGAAAGACTATGCTCGAGCACTCTATATGTGGAATTGCAAGTTCAGCTAAAATTGGTCGTCAGGATAATTAGTGATCGGGTTGCAGGGAATGTCAGTATCATCTACCATACTGAGCTATTTGGTTAATCCAATTAAAATGCTTATTTGACCAAGTCAAGGTAAAACCTTATTTGATCCAATGCGAATTTGAAGATCGACAACAGTTAGCATAAGTATTAGTAAGCATTAATATATTACGTGAAAAGTGTGAAATTTCTTAGCGACAAAATTTCATCCCGCCTTTGTCTCTCGATTCAATTACTTGCAAACGCTGGACACTTGCAATAGTACGTGGTTTTGGTCTTTTTGGATCTATGATTGCTTGTTAAATTTGTCAAAAACTAAAGAATGATACTATTTATGATCAATATTGTCTAATCAAGTTTGAGGCGCATGTTTGATGGGTGTTTTTTAGAGTTGAATTACATCAAAGAAAATAGGGGGAAATTTGAAAAAATTGAATTACAATAGCCAAATTAAGCTTTGGAACGAGAAGACAAAATTGGCGTGGCGTGGCATGGTCCTGTTGGCACATCTGCGCTGCCAAGCTTCGTTTCGATCGTTCATCTAGGACTCTTGACTTGTATTTTTGTCTTTGATTCAAGTCCAATGTTCAAATACATTCTTAGGAAAAATTCTCTCTTATCACACTTTCATACCTTTGTTATACACTTGTTCAATGTTCTAAAAGACGGGAACTACTAGCCTTAGGTGCAAGGCATGAGAAGACACTCCGCATATGGGGAACGCATAGAAAAATACTGTCAATGCTTTTTTTATGCTTATGCCGGCCTAGACGACAAAAAGCGTGAATAATAATGACTTAGGCGTCAAAAAGGGAAGATTAATGTACGCTTTGGCACCAAAAGGTGAGCGCGCATTTTAATTATTGAATAAAATTTATTTTTCAAGGTTAAATAAACAATTAAATAAAGCGAATAATTATTAATGTACTTTAAATAAATATAGTATATATTATCTTACTACTCCTAAAATCGTGAAGTTTGATATTTGACTATAAAATCTTGTCACGTCTTATGTCTTTTAGAACCTTGATAGGATCATGGAACACAACTTTTCACTCATGTTGGGCAAAGACATGACTTGGCCAGGTGATCTCTCTCAAACTATCTATAGACGACCCGATATTATCATGTTACTAAATTATCTTAGGACTCAGAACCCTTTGCAGATAGTAAGGATCGATTGATAATATCTCATTTGGGAATGGGATATTTCTCTCAGCATTATTTATAAGGATTGCAAGCATTGTACAAAGTATATATGAGAGTCAACCTTTTTATTTCAATGGAAATCAAAGATGAAACTCGGCCACATCGCCCATTGATCGAAAATGAAATGAGATATTTTCAGACAAGCAATTGAAAGAACTTCACGTACTTCACAAACTTAACAGAGTGTAGCTTCACGAGCTCGAGTTAAGAGTTTGGGAGATGACACGAACCGCATTTGCCATTAGGAAGTTTGTCCAGAATCACTAATCACACCCAGAAAGTCATCCTTTATGGTGCCAATACAGAACTGCAAAATGAGAGATGATGAACATCAGAGAGAGTTCGAGAAATAAATAGAACAATAATAGTGTAAATGAATAAGAGGGACGACAATAAAGGAGATACACCTTCTTCCAAACAAATCTGGGGTCATCATTTTTAGCCAGTCTGGTCTACTAGAGGATCCAGAGCACTAGATTCTTGATGTCATAAATAACATAAATTGTTTCACGGTATTGGCACACCCAATCCTAAGCACAAATATATCACTGGTCTTGCGCTCTTGCTTTTTCCCTTTTCTTTCTCTGGATAAGTTGAAAAGGCATTTACAATTTTACAAAATACAGTTACTTTAAATCTTCACGCCTTGTTTCATAGGATAGGGATTACTATACTCTATTTTTTCTGCTCTACTCCAGTTCAACACTAATGGGAGAATGGGAAAAGAAAAGTAACATTACAAAAATGCGATTTTCTAGAATACACGTGACATGGGTATAAAGGAGATAGATTGCATACGATTTCTGTAGCATCAACTCGAGTTCCAATAATCTTTAGCCGAACTTCACAGTCTTTCTGAATTTTAACCTGGGAAAAAAACTATGAGTGTCCCAGTGCATCTTGAAACAAAACTTAGAAACAAGCAGGCAAGACATGGAGCAGGGGTGTCGTGTTGGATTGCTAGTGATACATACAGATCCATCTGAAGTTGAATAATTTGGCATGTCTCCTAATTGAAGTTCCATGTCATCTGGTATCAACTATATACAAAAAATAAGAGTTCTTGAATGAGTGAAAGAGTGATTCTGGCATGATATTTTCTATTATGTAATAGCCATGGACAGTAACATTTATAACAAACTAACAATGATATCCGAAACATAAACAGAAATCGAAGTATATGTATAACTCATCACCAATTCGAACTTCAACTCTTCCATACCTAGTAAGGTGATTGCTTTTGCTCCTTGTGCTACCCAATAATAACGTGAACATGGTTTCTGGTGCTTCCAGTAATTCAATGAAGAAATGACATGCCACTATTTCAAATTACTCTACATTTCATATGACTTGTGCACATGAAAGAAATTGCAACATAAATTCAAAGCATGAGCAGAACCTATTGGATCAGTTTCCATCATTTGCAATTAAGATCTTTTATATTCACCAGGGTGTACTCAAACACATTTTTGATCAATCACTGTCACCAGATGAATTATGAGGGGCAAAGTATTGTGTATTGATGTGAAAAGGCTCACAAGAAATAACATATGGATTCAATTTATTATTTACTAAGTAATTGATCATCAATACAGAGATCATAGGATTAAGATCACAGACATGAAAACTATATAATATTGCTTGCACATTAAGACCAAGGGAATTCATAATGCACTTCGAGTTAATAGTATTATATTTCTATACACGATCTTAACCTATGTCGAACACTAACAAGCAAATGTTCCCTTGGCAACTGACAGCGTGTATGTGTGTTATAATAAAGCAGCAAAGCATTTGAAGCGAAGATAACTATTAGTTGAGTTCACATGACATTTGGTCCGCTTAGCATGTTCCAGAACTAGGTAACCAGTAAGCACACATACAAGTTTCAAGCTATAACACGATTTTGGAAGAGACATTCTTCTCTTAACCAATTAACCATAGGATCTGTCCATACTTGACTATTTCACAATTGCCTTTTCAATAAGATTACAAGATAGAAAAATGCGTAAAGAAAAATCAATTTCTAGAGAATCAAAAAGTCTCGTGAATCGTAAATCCATAACTTTAGCTGAAACTTATTTCTTCTTGTTCATTTCAATTGCAAAAAGATGATCTTCTCAAAAACTTAAGTTCCAAATGGCAACTATAACTACATAAGAACATGTTTTATGTATATAAAAATCACATACTGATGGCTAATGCATCGACAATGATTACGAAACACAATCACCATTGCCTTAAACCATTCAGTTACAATTCTCCAAACAGCACATGTAACCAGTCCAAAGAAAAGAACGCCATTGAATACCACCACACCAAAAGTCCTCCTAAAAACCCCAGAGCACATCAATCACTAATTCACTCTTTCAACTTCAACTTGGAAATCCCACACATCATTCTGGAGGACCTCGTTTAAAACACCCTTCTAAACAATGATTCTGTAAAAACATAAAATAATTTTCTACCAGAGCATGGCTTCATTGTTCTAGTGAGATTCCAAACTTAATTGCCCCATTCAGTTTAATAAATTCGGAATAATCGATTTAAATATAATTAAGGGTGTATTTGATGTAGATTTATTCAGCATAGTTTTTGTGAAAAAGGATTTTTTTTAGAATATGTAGTTAAAAAGTAGGGAAGAGTTATGGTCAACTTGTTTTAGAATGTGTCATTGAAAATGAGTTTAATAAAAACAAATCTTATAGAATATGTACCAAGATAGGCTAAGTAACACAAATTTTCTATAACAAAAAAGTTGAATGATCTATAAAAAAGATAGAAACTCGTGAAATGAATCTAGAGATAATAAAAAAAAAAAAAAAAAAAATTGTCATAGTAGGCTTTGCAAGAATAATTTTAAATCAATACACTGACATGATTCGAAATGAAAATTTGCACAGGTCCTGCTTCAGCGAAAAAGCCCATCTGCAAGAACAATATCTTAATACTTCAGAACAATAAAAAAACAGAGATACGAGTACATAATAAATCAATGAAAATCAATAGATGGCAGACCTTGTTAACCATGGAAACAACAGCTTCAACAATCTCTCCTTTGAAGGGTCGAAACACAACGCACTGATACTTCACCGGAAATGTAGCGTAGCCGGAGCCATCGAGAACTAACCCTTTATCCACGCTTTCAATGCCAGTGATCGCCACAATGAACCCATGTCGGCCGCTGTAAAAATCAAATCAAATCCAATTACAATGAATTAAAATTAAACGTGAAAAAAAAAATCACCGATTGGGATTTGATGGAGGAGGACTACTTGCAAGTGCCTTCAACGTCTTTCATCAGTTTGGTGATGAGCTTATCGCGCAGATCACGGCCGAAGTGGCGTGGGTGCAGATGCATGTTACGTTCCAATATCATGTGGAAAAACATTTCTTCTCAGACTCTGTGCGAATGCATGGGTGTGTGTTTACTGTTTATGTTGCTTCTTTGGGTAATACTTACGCATGTTTGGCTATTATAAGCTTATAATCTCGAGTATGGGATCCGTTCCCTTACTTATTGGAGCTTATAAACTCCAAATAAGCTGTGTCCAAACAAGCATGTAGATAATAAGTGAACAGTAACTGTGATAAAAATTAAATTTTCTCAACTTAAATTAATGCCCCTGATTGGTTTAGATAAGTATCAAATTTTTAGTAAGTTTTGATAAAAATTAATGTAATATTTGTTTGAAAAATTATGAATATCACGAAATATGTTTTTATAATTAATTATTAACTTTGACTTATTTTTAATTAGTTTTTGAGATGAATCAAACAAGTGGTAAATATGTTCACACCATTTTTATTTTTTTTAATAATTACACCATATTTAAAGTACCCGAAGGTTGATGACCTTTATATATTATCATTTTTAATCATGCTATGGGTACATTACGGTATCCAACGGGGTGTCCAGGCGCCTCAGCATTGGTCGAGGTGCTTGCCACGCCGGGGCCAATACCGAGGCGCCGGGTGTCCCTTTTTTATTCTTATCTTTAATCTTTCATTAATTGGCACATTTTTTAACGGATAGTAAAACTTCCCCTCCTATATTCCAATAAGCAAAAAATAAATTAAAATAAAATAGTGCGACTAAATATTTTAAAACACGATAAACAACACTTTTAGACAAAAATCATCATTAAGAACAAAATTTTCAAAATGATAAAATCATAATAACAAAAATGTGATGAAAAATGAGGGACATAAAAATGACGATGAACTACGATTAAAGACCTTTAGTACAATTATATTGTGATACATTTATAAAAATATGTAATGTGATATGTCCATCCTTCCATTGATTATATGTAGTCTGGTTCAGTCAGTATCCAACACCTTATTTTGAACTCAAACAGCCTATTTTATTGCATAGATAGCAATGTTAAACGACTTGTCCTCAATTTAGGCCCTGTTTGATCTACATTCTTTTAAAAAAAAAATACATTCTTAATCATTAATTTGACATCATTTCAATCACATTCTTCAATAAAATAATATTACACGCAAATTCAAAAAAATTTCTTATTTTTTAACCACACATTTTTAATCGATACACTATTCAAAAATGCATTCTTATTAAAATAATGTGGCTCAAACAATGGCCTAAATCCTTAGGCTTTTCTAATCAATACATTCTGTTAGCTCCGATGAAGAAGCCAATGCTTTTTCTTCTTCTCCCTCCGATGCCGGTAGATGAATTTGAAGACCAGAGCCATTGATTCCAACAAGACCCTGAGGAAATGAACTGATAATCAGAGTTGTCATGGAACAGTGATTGATCAAGCAATTCAAATTCAAAGCCATACAAGTAATTAGGATACATTATCTGGGAATTCTCTGACATCATTTGAAGCATACAATAATTATAATTTAAGGATACATTAGAACAACATTTTTTTCAGGATAGGCAACAAAAATCTCCGACTACACCTCAATTTACAAAACCCAGTGTATTAATACAGTTGAGTTGTAAATTTCAAGAGAAGAATTAAATACGGTGGGGAAAAAAAAATGGCCCTTCAGGCCACTCGAGAACAACAGTCTCCAAACAAAACAAGTAGAGTTTCAACTTCACCACACAATACTATGGCAAAATGTGTAGTGTACCCCGTTTGTCTCAGGCTTCTGTAAAGATAAAAGGCCAAACTTCAGCGCAGCAGAAAGCACGGCTTCTACAGAAGAAAGAAAATGGAAAAAATAAAATAAAATTCTGATATGAAGGACTGGTTGATGAATATCTCAAATCAGAATTTGAGGCAAACTGAATCAGTCAAAAGCAGCCAACAATCTACAAAATGTGGAACTGATAAATTGCCAGCTTCATGCAACATCAACTCAAAGGTCACTAGTATATATTCCCAAGGATACCAATGAAGAACAGGGAATAAAGTTGGTGTGGAAGCGGAATTGGAATTCTGGAAACAAGAATAAAGTTGAAAAACTAAAAACTTTGTAGAGAATAATTTAATTGATTGAATGGTTCACATTTTTCCTCTGTTAAAAGATTGATAGAGACGTTCGGTTCAACATGTAAGCTTCTAAAAATCTTATTGACAGGGTATCGAACAATAATATAAAAAGGAAGGTTAAAGATGTGTACAAATCTATGGAAACATTTGAGTTTGAAATTTCTTGTTGTTGATACATGAAGTTTCGGGAAAATCTGATTTGTTATGTCAGGTATTGCAAATAAAAGATCAAGACATTTTGAATGCAATGAATTTAGTCTCAACTACAAAGATACTTCTTCAAGAAATGCGAGATGATCAATGGGAAAGTTTTACTCCCTCCGTCCTATTTATATAGACTGACTTTCCTTATTTTTTTTTTATCCCAATTATATAATCATGTTTCTTTATTGGGAATGTTTTGTTTTGTTTGTTTATTAATATAACCTTATTTAATTTGTTTAGTTATAACCAACATTTTTCACTTAATCTTGAAATTATACAAATATAAATAAGGGTAAACAAGAAAAGTTTTTAACAAAAATTGCTTTTCCGATAACATTAAATAAAAATTCTTAATCTATGTAAAAAACAAAACCATCCTATATAAATGAGACGGTGGAAGTATTTGATTTCATAAAAATAATGATATTGATGTGCCTATTCGATGCTCTAATAGAGTTTCAATTGGTGCAATTGAATAATAGATTACAGAGAACACAATGGAACTTCTTAAGCTGTGTGAGGCTCTGAGTCCTATTGATGAGTTCAAATCATTCTCTATAGAAGTTACTTGTTCTTTAAGGGAGAAGTTTTATCCTTTGAATTTTACTAAAGAAGAGAGAAATGATTTGAGGGGAAATTGAATCATTACAAGTACGATGTACATTGTAACTACAGTTTCAGCCTTTCAGCATATTGATTCTCTTCCTCAGTTATGTCGAATGTTCATTGAAACGAAGAAAGTCACGTCATTATTTTTTGATTGATGGATTGTTTCGTTTAGTGTTGGCCCTTTCATTTTCTACAGCAACAACAGAACTGGCCTTTTCAGGGATGAAACTCATCGACTCATCATGACATCGATTTACAATAAAATGGAGAATGGTTTTCAATCAAACTCCATGATCATCTATATTGAGCAGGAGACTGCTCTTGGTATTGATATGGAGGTCATCGTTGACAAGTTTTATTGTCCAGGGAATCACAGGGTGGGACAAAAGTAGCATATTAAGGTATTTGTATTGAACTATTTGTTGTCTTTAGATATCATCCTTTATAAGTTTATCCATATACCCTATCCAGTTGGTCCTCTAAATCACTTGTGTTCAATAAATAAACAATATCTAATAATGATTTCATTTAAATCAATTCAACTAATCCCAACAGGGCCAAAACTAATCATTTTAACAATCCAATAATTAATACAAGTTCCAAACTATCCTCTTACAATATTAATCATTATTGTAAGATTTCAGAATACTTAGATATAATGCAATAATTTACTGTGTACATTATTATTATTATTTAGTGGAAAAGGGGGCATACTGCATACCAGAAATAATAAATTTTAAACAAAATAAGGGCATGATGCCACTGCTGTGTTAAAAATTTATACAAAATAAAAAACACAATGCCTCGAATTCAAACAAGCATTTTCCCTAATTAAAAAAAATTATAAGTTCCTTGTTCAACCTCACGCTGTATCTCCCATCTTAACTAGCAAGGGAGGAGTAAATATCTGTAAAAGTAAATTAAATAAACAGAAGCATAAAAATGGCATGCGGAACTGAAAAGGAAGCGATAAAAACTGACGACAACTTCCAAACTGAGGTGTTTTGGATGAAAATGAACTTTTTATGCATGAAAATACTTTAATTTATTAGTATAAGAGCTCAAATATTATGTTGACTCCAAAAAATGTTGTCAATGGATGCCGGACCCACCTGCGCGCACGTGAGCGAAAGTCCAACACGCTAAGATACGTGGACGGTTTAAAACAGATAGATCAAGGGCGTGGGAGTAGCTCAATAGCGCGGGATGAGAACGTTCGGAATCCGGCCGGATGTTCGTAGATCGATTATACAATAATTACCAATCGATGTTTGTAAATGTGTATCTAAATATGTATGAACTCATTTGTATTACAAGATAATAAGAAATAGAGAGTTGAGTAAAGTATGGTTTCTTATATTGATTCTTGCATTAGCCTTTGTATGAGGTACATGAGGGAGTATTAATAGTGTCACAAGTTAGATCGTGACCTTTGGTTCGGGGTACACGTGGCCTCATCTGGTTAATTTACATGTCAAATTGTAGGCATCAGTTGCACCTAGCCTGCTATACATTTATTGATTGGCAGAGCCGCCTCTATTAGTGACAAAACTTAACATTTACACGCATGACAAACGTCCTATCAATCATTCAAGTAAGATCTTTGTACAGAGGATCTCTTGGGAGAAGTGTCTACGAAAGATGCTGCTTTGTGATTCGGAGGCTGCTACCTCGGCTACAAAGCTTCGGCCAACAAGGACTCGTCCACCTTCAAAGGGCCTCGGCATATGGGCTTCGAAAGTTTCTCAAGAGGCAATGATAGATGCCTCGGCATATATGGGCCTAGGTTTCTGTGGACTTTGGTTTGTGGGCCTTAACTATGCAAATCACCTCAGCTTGAGTGCCACGTGGTTCGGCATGAGTTGGCTGTGGGCCCTGGTGGGTTGCCCAAGTGTGCCTCATCTAGTTAATTTAAATGTCAAATTGTAGGCATCAGTCATAGCTAGTCTGCTATACATTTATTGATTGGCAGAGTCGCTTCTACTAATGACAAGACTTAATATTTACACTCATGACAAACGTCTTATCAATCATTCAAGTAAGATCTTTGTGCAGAGGATCACTTAGGAGAAATGTCTGTGGAAGATGCTGCTTTGTGATTCGTAGGCTGCTACCTCGGCTACAGAGTTTCGGCCAACAGGGCCTCTTCCACGTTCAAAGGGCCTCGGCATATGGGTTTCGGAAGCTCCTCAAGAGGCAATGATAGATGGGCTTTGGTATATATAGACCTAGGCTTCTGTGGACCTCGATTTGTGGGCCTAGGCTATGCAAATCACCTCAACTCGAGTGTTATGTGGTTCGGCTTGAGTTGGCTGTGGGCCCCGGTGAGTTGC